CAGAAAGGAATGTCTCGCAATCGGTCGAACGGTTTGGCCCCCCTCCCCAAGCGTTGAATTCGAAAAAGTGGCAGTCGGACATCGGGCCAAGAACCTAGCCGTGGCATTGCGGTTAAAGTCAAGAATGTTGGATCGAGTCCACGGAGCGCCTCCCCGGATCCAGAGAAGAAGCGAAGGTCGGGGGCCGGCGGGCACAGAAGGGAATGTCCTGATCGGGCATAGACGGACGAAAGTGCACTTCGGGAAAGAGGCCCGTGGCCCCAGCAAGGCCTTTTCGGGAACAGTAATGACTGGCAGGTCGTGCTTCGTGGCGTTCTCGAGCTTCTCCATGGCCTCGATCTCCTCCAGAGGCATCTCCCACGGCCGAGGCAGGCAAGCCAGTTTCCACCCATCAGAAGCCTCGGATTGTAGCTGCGCTGCAACAGGCTGATGATGCTTGCGGAGCCCGTGGCCGCACCCTCAGCCTCGGGAATAAAGGGGTCAATCAAAGCTTGGAGCGGGTGCGGCTCGGAAGCAATGATCTCGGTGCTACCCATGAGCTGAGCAGCCTTGTGCTGCCACTGCTCTGGGTGTGCTGCCATGATGTATGGGATTGTGAGAAGGATGATTTTGACGAGCTCGGTACCAATCGTCTATTATCGTCAGCTAATGCACCTTCCTCAACGTAAATTTGAAAAATGAAAACTCACGTCTTCCGAGCTGGCAGTCTGCAGATCCAGCGCTCGCCCGAGCAATTCCTCTAGGATGGGGAAAATGCCATCGCCCCCCAAGCAGCTCTGCAGACAGGCAAAGAGCTTGAGCAGCAACTTGGCATCCCTCCAGTGACCTTCTCTGATCTTCGTCTCCGTGGCAATGCTGAGCCTGCCCAGGATATCCTCCACAATCTCTGGGCGTAGTGTGTTGATGAACAGGATGACCGCGGCGGTGAATGGGGTCTTCAAGGGCTGCTCAACGGCAAGCTGGAGTACCAAGTCGATGAAGTTTTCGCGCAGTTCCGTGTCATCTACATTGTCGGCCACAATGTGGGCAATGGACTGGACCTCTTCGTGCCATCGACGCAGAGGCGACTCCGCGATGTTGAGGAGCTGCTTGCGAATCCTGACAGGGAGCGGAGGGGGCTCATGGCGTCGACGTTGTTGGCGATAATCTTGCTCGTCGTCCTCGCGGTAGCGGCGTTTGCGATTGTGCCCGCCACCACCACCGCCGCCCCCATTGCGTCGCCGGTCATAATCACCCATTGCGAGTCTGTTTCGGAGAAGGAGGCGTCTCGGTGAAGTTGAGACGAGTTGTTACGTCGCAGATTGCTGTAGGCGGTGTTGTTGAAGAGATGCAGGAAAGTCGTGCGACCGGGAGGGGATAAGGCAGGCAGGTGGGCTAGTTGGCCAAAAGGTCTTGTCGCGATTGCTCTTGCCGTAGCGAATTGAGCTGGAGCTCGAGTCGTTGCTCCCTAGCGCGTCTCAGTGTCGGTACCTGCTTTGCCCTGCATGATTGGTCACAAAAATATGGGTCACATGAGATGTGCTCACTTCGGCCTTCTGCCGTCAAATACCCAATGATACGTTCGCAGACATCACAGATGTAGCACCGCGAGACTTTCTCCAAAACCACATCAGCCATTCCCGAACTAGCCGTTGCTGAACCGAATGAAATAAGAAGCCTGCCCTGGACAGCAGGTCGTAAACATCAGCAGCAGCGTGCAGTTGATCGAGTATGGAGAAACAACAAGCCAAGCCATCCAGACTAAGACCGTACATTGATTGTGCCATCCCGTACGCGGCGGGGAAGGCAATGGAGCCCATTTTTACTTGTAACGCGGGTAAACAACAGAGCAGCAGCCAGCCAACCATCTCAGTCATGCATCAACATGTGGTCTAATCCCTGATGCCCTTTGGGTATGCAGCAATGCAGCCTTCCCGTGGCGCGCAAGTGGTGCTCTCAACAATTGAGTCTTCTTCTCCGGCCCGGTCGCTCTTTTGTCCGCGGGATTCAAACCGCAGCAATACCCAGACCACGCTTGTGCCCCACCCATTTTGCATACTCCCCATGCCGACCAGTTTCCGAATTCCTCAAGCGTCTGACGCCAACCTGCTTCTAGAGGTCATCCTCATCGTATCTAATCATCATGTGGCCCGACTTTGCTGGGGGGTGTCGTGCTACTGCTGCTGGGCGTGGACTTGAATAGGTTTTGCGCGTAGGCTAGCAGATCACCCCGGGCCGTGACCACAAACGGCCCGTAGGCGGGTATGTGGTAGTGCAACGTCTCATAGATGGCCTGTGCTTGCTTCAGTCCAGCTTGGCGAGCATCTCCTGCTTCGTCAATGGTGTGAACGAATCGATATCGAGACCCTTAGAAACAAGGATAGGTCGGATGTGAGCCGGCACCAGTTGAGCGTTGAGGTCCGGTCGGATCGAGAGTTCTGCATTGATCGATTAGTTGATTCAAACCATGAAATTTCGAGACTCATGAAATAGCTTACCGTGACGAGTGAAGTCGAACAGAGGAGGCAGGTCGCGCACCGTGCCGGTCTGGTGCCGCGAATCGGGCAGCTTAGTGCTGGGGTCCCTCAACTCGTCGAAGAACGGATGCACCATGGCATCAACGGCGCTTTGCCTCTCTGTAGGAGTGTATTCAAGGAGACGGGCAATCAGGTCGATGGCGTGAGCGTCGGCCTTTCGGAACACCTTGGCAAAGGGGTGGGGCTTGATCTGCGGGAACTTGTGCTCCATATAGTTTGGGTTCATCGTGCGGATCTGCTCCCTCGTGGGTGTTCCCAGGACCTTGATGATCTCTACCAGCTGGTCAATGCCCGACTCGCCGGGGAAAAGTGGTTGTCCGAGCATGAGCTCCGCCATGACGCAGCCAGTTGACCAGACATCTGTTGTGCGCGTTAG